TGCTATTTGCAGGATATCAGAACTCAGCGAAGCAAGGATGTGCATTTGGGCGTCCTTGCTCCAGCACAGAAATACGGGGCCGCACATACTTCATGTGAGATCTATTCGACGATCCATGGACATCAAACCAACGTATAACAAGCTACCCCTGACCTGCTAGTGTTCATTGGTTCCCATTCCGATGGGAGTTTCGTCAGGTGTTTAACAATATGGGTGTGTATTCAAAGAGGTAGACCTCCCAAAGACCCCCTGGCAGGTTCGGAAAGTTGACCAAAAGGCATTGGTTGGGGGTCCACTATTCCAATACACACCCATATGATCCAGACAGAGCGTTCGGTCATTCTGCAGTCACGCAGATTGGGACACCGCTAATTTGTTCAAGGCCATCGCTATTAGGTTGGAGGCCATCGCTCTTAGGTTGGAGGAAATCACTCTTAGGTTCCCTTTCTATCACGTTCCCTTTGAATTTGAATTGTTCTTTTTTCGCAACCTAATAGAGGCCAAGAGTTGTGGAATGCACCTGTTCCAGGTCCTGAAACATCACATCGAGGACAGCATTGGGAAATCCAAACAGCTCAACGTTTGCTATTCCGTCATTCGACATCGAGCAATTGAACATCTAATGGTCAAAATCTGCACTGATTGACGCTTCTCCTGACAGGAGCTGACAGAGTACGAACAAGGAGAAATTCTAGACTTCCCGCAGATTTGGTGCCTCTGTAGGATGCAAGAACGGGAAGCGTACCAAAACAGATGGGCTCTTGGAAATTTTATATAGGGCTTCGAAAATACGTTTGGTAGGCCATCTCTGAAATTGGAGTAACTCCAATTCAAAAGTCTCAGGTACTTTGGCTCAGGTGCTCAGAAGATTCGGGGGACCTCGGTTGCTAAGCTGCGAGTTGGACAGTCAACACGGACACTGATTTGGCAAACACTGAGTGTTCTGTGTTCTTTTGTGTTCTTATTTCTGCTTTGGTTGTCACATGTGAATGATTGTGAGCGGAAAGAATCGCAATGAGTAGTAATCAGCCATGTTGATGACGGTTTGACAGGGGGAACTTCCGAGGCTTCCACAAACAACCATTCCTACGATGACGAGCGCGGTGACTACATGGTGGTCTTGCTGGCAAGCCAAGGAAGGTTCAGACACCTCTGGGCTGTACTAATGGTTTGCCAAATATGGTGGTCTTTCTTGTTTGAAACTTTAAGAAATGGCAGAGCTGCAGGAAAAGCCTTACGATGTACTTACGATGTCACATCGTTTGAAAAGCCTTTTGCACCCTCCTTTGAGGCATGACCATATATTGTACCGGTACGAGGTGAGCCGTGCGTCGCCCTGCGTTTGCTTGCCTTAGAAAGTTCCATGTACTAGAAACAAGCAATTTCGTGAAAAGTTTCACCAGGCACGTCTGATTGATGTCGATTTGAGGGTAGGATCATTTTGATCAAACTCAAGCTGGTTTGCAATCTCCACAAGTCACAAGGACCTTGCGAATGCTCGTCCAATGCGAATCCTGAAGCTTGAAACCTTTTAATTACTTGGTATATCCTGAATGCTCGTCACTGTATCGTTTTGGTTTCCAAAGCTTGATGAAGGGCTTGGTGGTGCATACCTAAGGCTCTAAGGCTCTCATCTTTAGTCTGTGTGCTTTCTATTAATGTGTGCAGTTACACAGCAACGCTAAGCACACGAATGACTTGGAGCACCTCCCTGCGCAGGTGCTGAACCCTCTAGGAAAAGGCTCTTTTGGGCAAGTGGTTCGGTCCTTCGACTTCAAGACCAGCAACTGCGTGGCCTTGAAGATGGTGTTTTGGCACATGAAGCGGCGTGTTTTTCGCACCGTGGCCGCCGTGGCCCTCCCTCCTTACTTGATGCACAAGTAGGTGCCTAGTCAATTAAGTAAGGGACTAAACCTGTACGGCCGGCCTGTACGCTCCTAGCTACTGAGACGCTACATATGGACGCAGGATAGCTCGAGCTTCTTCAAGGAAGCTCCTCCCGCCTGAGGGCGGACCTTCCTTGAAGAAGCGCTCGAACTAATGATCTGGTTTGTAGATTTTTAGGGAAACTTAGCCTTCGAACCATGTTCGTTAATCTGATAGGATTGGCTTTCGTATGTATGAGAATGGTGGTTGACGTCTCTTTGAAAAGTTTCGCGGGTTCCAAGACCCTTCATATGATTTCATGCGGACTTGCCCTTTCGTTCAAAATTGACGTTCTGTACTTTCTCGAAGTTGTTCAGCCGGAGGGTCAGTGTGACCAGTGTGACCACTATGCTGGTCAACACTTTGCAGTCAAGCTGAAGCTACTGTAGACTGGTTTGCATATGGTCCTGACATGCTTTCAGAAGCTTGCATTTCTTTCACGACATGATCACATTTTGTCAATCGTATTATTGTCTCTATTTGTTGTCTCGAGGTTAGAAACAAGAAGCGCTTTCATCATCAGGCACGACGCCTTGTTCCCATCACTTTCATTCTTGAAGCATTGTTGAAGAGCTCGACAAATGAAAAAGTCGCAAAGCTTGGAATTTCACGAAATTAACGGCAATGACCTCCAATCTACTAACGATGGCCTCCAACCTAATAGCGATGGCCTCCAACCTAGAAGCGATG